TGTCCGTACGGGATCTCCACATTAAGTAGTAGTGCGCAACCCCAGTTGCCGTCCTGCGCATCCCTCCTCCTCCTCCTCCTCCTCCTCCTCCTCCAGCGGCTCGAGGGCATTGGGACGCTGGCCCTCGGAGGCCGCGTTCAGGCCCCGTGTGCCAGCCGAGACGGGGAGCCGGACGTCCGAACCTGGCCAGCCCCGCTCGCAGTCCTCGATGTGCGAGTCCGTCCCCTCTCTTTCGTTCTCCCTCGGGGTCGCCATCGCCAGCGCCGCCCGTCGTCGTCGTTGTCGTCGCGTGAGAATGCTGACCTGTGGTGCGAATTTCGGGGCCTTGCGGATCGGCGCACAGGCCAGCTCAGCCTCGTTCGCGCTCCCTCCCACATGGATGAGGATGAGGTGAAGCGTGCCCGATTCGGGGCTTCCGTCCAGGCAGGAGGTATTTACCTGAACGCGGTGGCGGACGGCCTGGCCGAGGAGCGCGCCTCCCGCGCGCAGGTTCCCGCGGCCACCGCCAGTCGCGCCCTCGGCTCCCTCGATGAGGCCGACTCTATCCTGCTCCGTCATGCTTCCCTCGCCCCCGCCGCCGCCGCCGTTCCAAGGGCCCCGTGAGGTAACGGAAAGAGCGAGGTACGAGTGATGACGTTGTGTTGGGGCGACGCCCTTAAGAGAGGGTCCAGGGGGGTTGGAGGGCCGGGTGCAGTGTTTGTAATGGCCGTTTTCGGGTTTCCCCCATTTGTTTTTGCATGTTTTTCGGGTTCCCCCCCAAAGCGGCCCGAGAGCGTTCCAAGAGAGCCCGAGACCGCCCAAGACGGCCCAAGAGGCCCTCAATAGGCTCCCAAAAGGCGCCCGAGGGGCGCCCCAAGAGGGCCCCGAGAGGCCCAAAGCATTGATTTTCCGTAGGGGACACGTGCGTCTTTACCGTGTACTGCTTTTCGGCTTTCGCGGCGTTGGCGACGGCCCACGAGGCCCCCCAAACCGCCCCCTGACGGCTCACTAGGTTCCGAAGAGGCCCCCAAAACTGCCCAGGAGGGCCCCCGGACGGCCCACGAGGCGCCCTAGGCGGCCCGAAAAAGGGCCCCAAGACGGCCCCAAGAGGGGGGCCACGAACCGAAACGTCCAGCCTTTCGCCCCAAAGAGCTCCAAGGAGGCCCTGAGAGCCCCCCAGAAAGCCCCGAGAGGCCCAGGATGCCCAAATCATGGATTCCCCCATGGGAGCATGTGCATTTTTAGCACGCGCGGCTTCTCGCCTGTCGCGGCGTTGAAGAAGGTCCAAGAGGCCCCGAATACCGCCGCGAGCAGGCCCAGGAGGCTCCCAAGATGCCCCCGAAACGGCCCAAGAGGGTCCGCGGCGGCCCGAGATGCGCACAATACGGCCCAGGATGGCCCCGAAACGGCCCCAAGAGGGGGGCCGCGGACCGAAATATTTAGCCTTTCGCGCCAAGAAACTCCTGGGCGGCCCCGAGAGCCCCCCTAAAACCCCCAGGAGGCCCCCGAGAGGTTTCCAAGATGCACCCAAAAAAGGCTCTGAAAAAAAGGGCCCCAATAGGACTCGCAAAAAGGCCCGATCGGTAACGCAAAAAACTCTTCGCGCCAATGCTCCCAAGAGCGAGCGGCGACGCAAGGAAGTTGATGCGACCGAGGCTCTCATCAGAGAGCGGTGACGTAACGAGTTCCTGGCGCCAAGGCCCGACCAAGGCTCAGGAACGGGCGGCAACGCAACAATCTCCGAACACGAAGGCTCCCCAGAGCAATGGGGTGGCGTAGCAAGCTCTCAACGCCAAGGCTCCCAGTGCGAACGGTGGTGTGAGTAATTTCGGCTTCTGTTTCTGCAGCGTTTTGTCCGTTTCTGTGCTGGGCCAGGTTGGTCAGGCCCCCGCTTTTTGGGGGTCCAGAAGTGAGCGGCCGCGGAATGTAAGGCGAATCGAGCTTCTAACATGCTTGGCGCGATCACCCAAGGGGCTGGTGCTGCTCCATATGTGGGAAGATCGTATTCATGACCCAGCAGAGTACCTTCTCGCGTTTGCGGTCCTCGTGTTCGGCCCTTTCGAACACCCCTGCCTCCCTGTCTGTTTTGCCTGCTCGCGAGGCGGTTCGCCTTCCTCGAGGGTTTGAATCCTTGCCGCCGTTTGATGAGCATTATTTTCGGTTTACAGGCTGGCTTGATCCCCCAGTGCGTCTCGGAGGCCCTGGGTGGAGGGGCCATGTCCTGCGCGGCTCTCATGTTCTCTGGCGGAAGGGGTGTTTCGTCTTTTGCGGGTCTTGTGTTTGTGTGTGCGTGTGTGTGTGTGTGTGTGTGTGTGTGTGTTTGTGTTTGTGTGTCTGTGTGTGTGTGTGTGTGTGTGTGCGTGCGTGCGTGTGTGTGTGTGTGTGTGTGTGTGTGTGTGTGTGTCCGTGCCGGGGGGGGGGGTGCCCTGAAGGCACCCCGAATTCCAGACCCTTGATGGTGAATGCGTTCGCTTCGGGCGGTTTTCGTTCGCCGGGGCCCACTGCGCCGCCATCGTGAGAGTGCATGAGCTGCTGCCCCCCCGTCGTGGAACGAAGGAGTGGGGCCAGCGGCCTGCTTTCCTCGACCCGCTTTGAGGTCCCTCATCCTGCAGGTTCGTCGTCGCTCATCGTGGGTTGCAGCCCAGCCTTGGAGCTGCTAGCAGCTAGCAAAAAAAACTTCGTCGTGGGAAGCGGAGGAGGGATGATGGGAGAGGAACGGGAGGGGATGTTTTGGTCTGCCAGGTGGTGGCATGAGGTTTCTGGGGGGACGAGGAGGAGCAGGGAAAAACAGGGAGGAGCAGGGATGAGGGAAACAGGAGGACGGAACAGCAGAAGCAAGAGCAGGAACAGAGCGGGAGCGGGAGCAGGAGCAGGAACAGGAGGATGAGGAGGACGAGAAGGAGGAGGAGGAGGAGGAGGAGGAGGAGGAGGAGGAGGAGGAGGAGAAGAGGGGGCATGCAGCAGAGGAGGAGGAGAAGGAGAGGCAGGAGGATGGGAGTGCGTTTGTCCAGGAAAACCGAACCTGCTGCGAGTTGAGGAAGGCCCGATTCGATCGAACCTTGACGGCAGGAGGAGGAAGAGAATAATTGAGGAGGATGATGAGTAGGATTAGGAATTTTGTTGTTGATGATGGTGATGATGAGGATGAGGAGGACGACGACGACGATTAATGAGATGATGATGCTGATGATGCTGATGGTGAGAACGATGGCGTTGTTGATGATGTTGAAGTCTGCTACGATGGCGATGATGATGAGGATGATGATGATGATGGTCTTGGTGTTCGCGCTGCCGGCACTGCTGATAATGCTCACTATTTTGATTAAGATGATGGTGCTGATGATGATGATGCCTGTTGCGGCGACGACGCCGATGATGGTGGACATGACGAGGCTGCGGATGATGCTGATGACGATGATTTTGACAATTTAACGATGGTTCAGATTTCGAGGACTGCGTTTATGATTTGGACGATGATGATGCTGCTGCTGATCATGATGACGATGTGGTTACAGATGCCGATAATGCTGATGATGACGATGACGATGATGATGATGGCGGCGACGACGGATCTGGTAGTGCTTGGTGATGATGATGACGATTACATTGCCATTGATTTTCGCGGTGATGGTGATGCTGATGATGATGGTGGTGGTGATGATGATGATGATGATGATGATGATGATGATGATGATGATGATGATGTTGGCGATGTTGCTGCTGATGGTGATGACCATGATGATGATGCTGATGACTGCTGATGCTGATGGGGGATCTGGTGCTGATGATGATTTTGATGATGATGATGATGATGATGATGTCAGTGGTTGTCGGAGTGCTTGTTGTGAGCACGATGATGGTGGCGACGCCGACGACGACAACGACGGTAAATGAGGATGAGGATGAGGATAAGGATGTGGAGGACGATGATGATGCTGCTGATGATGATGATGATGATGATGCTGGTGCTGATGATGATGCTGGTGCGGATGCTGATTCTGATGATGATGAGTATGATACGGTTGATGTGTCTGCTCTTGATGATGATCGTGCTGACGATGCTGACGATGCTGACGTTGCTGACGCTGCTGCTGCCGATGAGGATGATGAGGATGCCGATGAGGATGAGGATGATGATGCTAATGATGATGATGATGATGATGATGATGATGATGATGATGATGATGATGATCATGCTGATGATGATGATGATGATGATGATGATGATGATGGTATCGCTGGTGATGATACTGATGCTGGTGATACTGATGATGATGAGAGTGAACATGACACTGATGCTGATGCTGCTGCTGTTGATAATGCGAAGCATGAGAATGATGAGGATGCTGATGCTGATGCTGATGCTGCTGCTGATGATGATGATGATGATGATGATGATGATGATGATTATGCGGATGATGATGCTGATGTTGCTGATGATGCAGAATGCTGGTGATTGTGGTCCTGATATTGATGCTGATGATGACGGTACTGCTGATGATGATGATGATGCTAATGCTGCTGATGATTATGCGGATGATGATGGTGATATTAGTGATGATTTTGATGATGGTGATGATGCTGATGATGATGACGCTGATGATGATATTGATGATAATGAGGATGCTGATGATGCTGATGATGATAATGCTGATGATAATGCTGATGATGATGCTGATGATGATGCCGCTGCTGATGTTGCTGCTGATGGTGATGCTGATGCTGATGCTGATGATGTTGGCGATGATGCTGATGATGATATGCTGATGATGATGATGATGATGCCGATGATGATGCTGATAATGATGATGCTACTGCTGATGATGGTGATGATGGTGACGCTGATGATGCTGATGATGACTGTGACGCTGTTGGTGATGCGAAGGAGCATGAGGAGGGGCATGACTTGGGGGAGGAGGAGGGGCATGACTTGGGGGAGGAGGAGGAGGAGCAAGACGTGGGGGAGGAGGGGCATGAGGAGGGGCATGACTTGGGGGAGGAGAAGGAGCGACTGCCTGCAGGACGAGCCCGTGCTCACGGTGGGCAGGGCGGCGGAGCAGTCGCTGTCCCTCCCCGACCCGCGGGTCTCGGCCCGCCACTTCGAGGCCACGCCGCTGCCGCTCGCGGGCTCGTCGCCGGCGGCTCCCGGCGGCCCTCGGGCGGCCCTTTGTCGATCCCACGATCAATCGGCGATCCCCAAGAAAATACGGGAAAGCACGGGAAGTGGGGGGGAAGACAGAAACCCAGAAAATATAGGAAAATGTGGGGACTCGTTTTATTTGTGTGTATTTATTTGTGTGTCATGGGGCCCCTTCACTTTGGCAGGCCTCGGCGGTCCAGGCAGCGGCGCGGAGGGCGGCAGCGCGGCGGCGGCGTCGTCGCGGCCGTCGTGGCCGTCGTGGTCGTGGCGGTCGCCGTCGAGGTCCCCGTGTCGCCAACTTAAAAAGTCGTCCGCCGCGGCGCCAATCCGCTGCGGGCAGTGGCGCAACCCAACACTTGAGGGCACGATGGAAGCTGCTTTACAGACCGCTGAGCAACAATGCTGTCCGGGAACGTGTTGTACGGTCGGCGACCGAGAAGCACAGTCTACCCTCTGCCACCTTCTCTCCCACCTCCTCCGCCTCCTCGGCCTACTCCTGCGTGTTCTCCTCCATCCCTCCACCTCCTCCTTCTCCTCCTGCCACTCCTGCTGCTGCAGCTCCTCCAGTCTCCTCCTCCTGCTGCAGCTGGCTCCTCCTCCTCCTTCTCCTCCTCCTCCTATGTCTCCTCCTCCTCCTCCTCCTATGTCTCCGCCGCCTCCTCCTTCTTTTGGGCACGACACTCTTGGGGACGCCAGCCATCCGACCACACCGATCCCGGCCAGGCCAACCCCAGGACGAGCATCGGTGGATGCGCCCTCGTGGCTCCGCCGGTCCTGGCTCCGCTGGTCCTGGACGACGACGACAACGTCGATGACGACGACGACGGTGTCTTCAGAAGGCTGATGTCGTGGGCTCGCTTCTAGACTTTATCGAAGGCGCCTGCGGCGAATCACTACCGCCCCCAGCCTTCATGGAATGACCGGTGTGGCCGAAAGTTGGGCTGGAGCTATCGGACCATGCGTTTCCCCATCTGTCGTTGAAACATTTCGGGGAACACTTGAGGAAGAGGATAATGAGGAGAAGAAGGAAGAGGGAGTAAGAGGAGGTGGAGAAGGAGGAGGAGGAGGAGGAGGAGGGGGAGGAGGAGGAGGAGGAAGACGCCTCTTGGAAGCCTCTTGGGGCACTCGTGGGGTCTCCTGGGAGCTTCCTGGGGCCTCTTGGAGGCTTCTTCGGGGCCTCCTTGGGCCTCTTGGGAGCCTCTGGGCTCTGGGGGCTTGCTCGGGGCCGCTTTGGCCGTCTGTGGGCGTTCCTGGCCCATCTGACGCCGTCGGAAGCATGTTGGATGCCTCTCTGAACCGACTTGGGGCCCTCCTGGGGCGCTTGAGGGCCATGTCGGAGGCCACCTCGGGCTTCTTCGAGACCTCTTGGGCGGTCTTGGGGCCCGTTGTTGGCTGTCTTGGGAACCTTTTGCGCCGTCCCTGGGCCATCTTGGAGGCCTCTTGGGGCATCTCGGGGCAATCTTGGGAGCCTCCTGGGCCGTCTTGGGCCGTCGGAATGGCGAAAAGAAGCAAAGGGCAAACTCCTTCAAACACCTATGGGAAATCAATGATTCTGGCCTCTTCGGGCCCTCCTGAAGATCTCTTGGAGGCCTCTTCGGCCGTCTTGGAGGCCTCTTGGGGGCCTCTGGGGCCGTCTTGGAGGCTTCTTGGGCAAACTTGGAGGCATCTTGGACTCTCTTGGGCCGTATTGGAGGCCATCTGGGACCATCTTGGGCGAACTTGGAGGCCATCTTGGCTTTGTTGGAGGCCATCTTGGGCCATCTTGGAGCCACCAGGAGCAGGACGAACCTTTGCAACTGGGTCGAAAGAAAGCCTTCCGGGTGGCCGGCGGCATCGGCCGAAACCCCAGGGGGAGTTCTTTTGGAAAAGAACAAAAAACCAAGCCGTAAGACGTTCAGCACGCTGGCCACCCCTGTGATAAATCAACAGGGGCCCCGGATCTAAGGCCTTCCGCCCATGTGTTGTGGGTCAGAATTCTTAGGAATGCTTCTTGGGGTCTCTTCGGAGCGCTCTCGGGGGGCCTCTTGGGGGCTGGTTTGGGGCCTCTTGGGAGCCTCGGTGGGGCCTCTTGGGGCATCTTGGGGCCTCTTGGGGGCCTCTTGGGGCTTCTTGGCGGCCTCTCGGGGGCCTCTTGGGGCCTCCTGGGGGCCCCCTCGGGTGGCTCGAAATGTCCGTTGAGGTTCCCCATCTGGGCTCCCTCTTGGAGCCGTCTTTGGGCCGTCTGTGGCGCCACTTGGGCTGTTTTTTGGTGCTTATTGGGCCGTCTTGGAGCCCTCTTGGAGGCCTCTAGGGCCGTCTTGGGACGATCTTGGGGACCTCTTTCTTGTTCCATCTTGGAGTGTCGGGGAGCCGAAAAGGCGAGAACGCCAACATCTTGTTCAAACCATAAGGAGGATCGGATTTCGGCCTCTTGGGGTCCTCTTGGGAGGCTTCCTGGAGGCCTCTTGGGGCTTCTTGGTGGCCTCCTGGGCTGTCGTGGAGGCGCCTTGGGGCGTCTTGGAGGCCAGCTTGCGTCTTGGAGCGATCTTTCGGCGACTCGGGGCTCTCTCGGGCCGTCTTTGGGGCCTCTTGGTGCCCTCGTGGCCCGCCTGGAGGCCCTTCTTGGGCCTGGAAAGCCATGCGACAAGACGCGCCGACAAGCCGCGGCAAACCCCAGGAGAATTGAGAGTTCAGTCTCCAGGCCCCGTAAAGACTCTTCAGGAGTGAGGACTGAGGCTCAGGGGATTTGGGCGAGGCACGGTGGTGGATCTTCAATCATACTTGGACTTCCGATTCGACTGCTGCGCTGGTTTGGGTAGAGTAGCCGTTCTCTGTTCTTCTGGACTCGCGTCGTCGCTGGCTTGCCCAGGGGCGCCCCCATGTGTCCGGGTTTGCCTTCGCATCGCAAGTGTCAGCGTCGATGTCCGCAGGACACCACCATCAGACCGTTCTTCCTTGGGTAGTGGCTGACTCTTGAAGCAGCCCAGCCCCATGCTCTCTCCCTCCTCTTCACGCGGGCACCGGGAGTTGCTGTAGCGTTCGACGGCTTCCGCCCTGGTCCACTCGGGAAGGGTTAATTACCCCACTGAGGGGTGGTTCGCCCAACGTCGGTGGACTCCTGGGAAATGCTCCTCCAGGATTCCGCAGTGATACGTCGGATTCGGCAGGAGCCTGCGCCCCTCTCCACGAGCAGCTTTCAGTCGAAGACCGATTTCTGACCACGTCCACCTCTGGATCCTCGATTCTGTGATAGGCCCTCGGGGGTGGAAGTGGGTAGTTTTTCCTTCCCCTGGGGCGGGGAAACTGCCCACCTCCACCTCTGGAAACCGGCTTTCGCAAGGCACCTCGGGAAGTGGGTGTGGTCAGACATCGGTCTCCTATTCGGACTACGGGATCAGGCTGCTTCCTCCGACGCGCAGAGCAGAAGGGAGCCGCGCAGCGCCTCGCGCTTCGCATCGGGCGACGAAATCTATACATATCCACTGCTCCCTGACCAGGCCCATCCTGAACTCACGAGCTGTGTATACGCCCTCCTGGCCCAGCCAGGAGGGTGTGGCGTATGCACCGCTGCTGGGTTCAGGCTGGGCCTGGCCAGGGAGCAGTGGATATGTATAGATCTCGCCGCCCTATCGCAGCGGCGGGCCGGCACACCCGCAGGGGCTGTCGGAGACCCTTTTTCCTTTTGGGCGCACGGCCACTGGTTTGCCGCGTCCATCCCCGCGGCCTCTTGCTGTCGTCCTCGCCAACCCTTCCTGCATTCGACGTCACCCATTTGCGCCATCCACTCCATCGTCTCTGTCCTCCTTGTACCTCCACCCTGCCACTCCAGCCCCTTCGTTTTTCATCCTTTCAAGCACCGCCACCACCTCTGAATCGCAGCCGCACCACCCATCCGCTATTTTCACAAGTCTTTGCTCGCACCACCCTCCCGTCTGCCCCTGCCCTTGTCTTCTGTACGTCCCTCCCCCCGCAAGCATGTCGTGCTCCCTCCCTCCCCATGCTGCTCAGGTCGTAGCGCGGCGAAAAGCCGGAACAGACTTGGACGAGGGGTCAGCCCGCTCCGCCCCGCGCGCCGACGCTGCCTGCCTTCCGAAGCGCCAGGGGGTGCTGGGTGGGGGTGGGGAGGATTGGCCTGGCAGCGGACACGTGGCCACCTGACCCCCCAGGGGGGTAGGGCGTAAGGGGGTAGAGGAGGAGGAGGAGGAGGAGGAGGAGGAGGAGGAGGAGGAGGAGGAGGAGGAAAAGGAGGAGGAAAAGGAGCTTCCCTGAGGTCTCTTGAGGGCCTTTCGTTTGCTTTTCAGGGTCTTGAGGGTCCCTGAGGAGGAGGAGGAAAAGGAGCTTCCCTGAGGTCTCTTGAGGAGGAGGAGGAGGAGGAGGAGGAGGAGGAGGAGGAGGAGGAGGAGGAGGAGGAGGAGGAAAAGGAGGAGGAGAAGGAGCTTCCCTTAGGCCTCTTGAGGGCCTTTCGTGCGCATTTCAGATCCGCCCGCGTGGCAGGCCTCTGGTGGTCTGTGGGGTGGTCTGTGGGGGGACCTCCCGGGAGGCCTCTGGGAGGTCTCCTGGGCCACTCGGGGGCCCATTGTGGGCTTCTGGGGAGCTCTGAGGGGCCTCCTGGGGGCATGCTGGGAGTCTCGGGGGCAGTCGTTCATGAGGCCATCTTGGGTCACCTTGGGGCCCTCGTGGGGCGTATTTATGCCTTCTTGGGCAGTCTTGGGACCGCCCGCCCTCTTGTAGCATACGCCTATGTGGCCAAACGTTGGGCTTGGCCACGCTATTGGACCAGGCGTTCCGCCAGCCGTTGTGGAAGCCCTTCGGGGAACACGTGGGGGAGGCGGCGGTGGTGGAGCCGTAGGGGGCCACAGGTCAAAACCTTCGCCAGCATCAAGCCCACAGTGACGGCTGCCTGCTGCCTGTACCTTTGGGGCAGCCCACTCTGCCGCCCGTGGGGGGCGCGCGGGCCGTCTGCCGGACACCCGCCCACTGCAGCAGGGGCTCCCTTTGGTACAGTCAAAAACCCTAACAAGGACGCGCGACTTTGCTCAGGGTACCCTTGTGTCCTTGCTCTTCCTTGCTCTTGCGTCCTTGAGGTTTTCGTCGTCCGCCGCCCCAAAAATCCCAACTTCGGCTGCCAAGGGTCTCGCGTCCTTACCGCGCGTCCTTATTAGGGTTTTTGACTGCAGCCAGGCAGCCCCGCTGGCAAGGCCGTCTGAGGATCCTTGGGTAGCCCTCCTCCCTCCTCCCTCCTCCCTCCTCCCTCCTCCCTTTGGTAGCCCTTTGGTAGCCCCCTTTGGTAGCCCTCCTCCCTCCTCCCTCCTCCCTCCTCCCTCCTCCCTCCTCCCTCCTCCCTGTCTGAGGATCGATCAGACCTCTCGCCCAGGCCTAAACCTCAACCACGCAGGCACAGTCGGGGGAAGACAAGCGGGCGGGCGGGCGGGCCGGCCTCCGTGGGCCACACCCGCTCGCCACCCCTCGGCATGATTTCGAGCCCATTCCCCCCTTGGCGTCGAGAATGCGTGGCGCCACGGTGGGCTTTTGACCTGCGGCACCCTCCGAGGCATGCTTTGGCGTTGGAGCGCCAAGGCTCCTCCCTCAGAACTGCGAGAGCCTCACAATCAGGGACTTGCGACGGGGGTCAGGCCAAGCTCGGTCCATGCTGAGATGAAGGGTCAGAAACTCCAGGGCGCCTTGGATGGCACCTGCGCCCAGAAAAGCCTCCCAGGACCTGGGATCCCGCGGACCGGCAGCGTCCCTGGACCCATCCCTCGGCTGCCGAGGATTGCCGAGGCACAAGCCCAGCTGGCCCTCCGAGGGGCCAAACCTCGCCCCGACGCCCGAAGCAGAAAAACACCAAGCGCCTCAAGCGACTGAACCCGAGCAAGACTGCTAGCTAGCCATGCACCCGTCACCCCTTCACAGCGCTCCCTGGGCGTTCCTCGCTGTCGAGGTCGCGGTGAAGCTGGTACAACACGTTCAGCGGGAGGAAGCGGGGGGGGCCAGGGGGAGGTTCTGAGAGGGCGAGAAGGAGAGAACTACACACGTGTGCACGCATGCTGATACGAGGAATGCTGGCCTGCGTCCGTTACTCCTGCTGCCTCAGACTCTTCTGTTTTGGACTCGTGGCCGCTCGATGACGCTGAGACTCCTGAGATCGTAGCTCTCTTATGAGTTTGACAAGCGTATCATTAAACGTGCTCTTTTTGGCGCGATCGGTTCCTCATTCAGATTTGCCTTTCCCTTTCATCTTCAGGGTCCTCGAACTTTCTGCCACGGAGTACTGCATATTGGGTGTCGCTCTTTTGAGGCCATCTGTCGTTTGGAGAATTCGCCAGTGAGAGCTGACTGCTGCTGACGAGTCCTGTGCGCCGCCATGGCGTGGGACAATATAGCTCCCTGTAAGTACTTGTCTGCCTCGGGGTCCACGACCAACGACAACTGAGAGGGATGCGGCATTGACCTCAGCCGATGTAGCAGTGGTATGAGAGCTCGCCGTAGTAGGCTGTAGCAGTTCCCTGACAAGTGGTAGCCTTACTTGAGGAAATGGCTACGATGCGATCAATTCGATGATGAATGACAGCTCCCTCGAGTAGTCATGCTTTTAAATTAGGCAGCACCACACAATGCAATGTCGCATTACACGTGCAAGTTGTGCTGCTGCTGCTGCTGCTGTGTTCCCGTCCTTGTGTATCTCACTCGGCCGAGACCCGCCTGCCCCAGTCAACAAAAGAAACTGCGGTAAAGAGTCTGCCTGTTGTCTTCGCGTGCGAACTCTCGACTGCCTGGACAAGCAACGTGCCACGCTCGGATCCACCGTTTCTGACACTTTGTACAGGGTGGTCAACTCCTGGGGACCTCGTCGACCTCGTGATATTACCAGCCTCGGACGTATCCCTGTCCCTAAGACTGACACGCCAAAAGGCGATGACAATCTTAGGGATTCGCCCTCAGAAAACAAGGGAATCCCTAAGATTGGCATCGTGATGAGGGGATGCCCAGCATAGGGATAGGGATCTGTTCCAGGCTGGTAATGACTGGACCTCTGCGTGTGCCGTGCTGGTGCGCTGGCAGCTGCGAAGCTGCCGCCTCTCGGCCGATCTCTCTCCGACTCCGTGCGAGGCCCGGGACCCCCGCGGGCCTGATCGCCCACCATCCTCGGGAGGGTCCACGCTTTCGGGCTGCCCGTGCCCATCTCGAAGTCGGGCCTGTCCCTCTGCAGGAGACCATGTTTTGACCATCTCTGTGGATTGTTGGGGTATTTTTTCGAGCACTTTTTACGTCTCGTCCTAAGCCCGCCTGTAGGGGGGACAGGCCCGACCTAGGTCTCTCTCAGGCGTATACCTGGGACATGCTGCGCCTGCGGTATTGCCGGTGGGATGGTCGTGCGAGGGGGCCGGGCTTCAGATTCGGGCTGTGCTGGGGTGTGGCTCTGCGACCTGCGTCCGCTGTCCCGGCCTGCTTGCGGGTCGTTTTCGGGCGGAAGGCGCGCAAGAAGTCGGCTGTGGTGTCCCGCCCGTGCTCCTGTGGACAGCAGCTGCAGCAGCTCTCCTAGTTTTTCTTTGTTTGATTCTCCTTCGTATTGATCGGCGCCCAGGGTGTCGTGCAACCCTAGGGTGAATGCTGCTTCTACGTGGCTGTGTGGTGGTCCCTGTCCGTGTCCCTTCGCTTCTGCTCGCGCGCCTTCGTGACACGCCGATGCTGCCTCCCAGCCATCCTGTGCCAGCTGAGCCAAGTAGGATCGGATCGCAAACTCGAAGACTGGTTTCGATATCTTCCCCTGGTCTGCTGCTGCTTTCAGGCCCAGCTGCTGTAGCGAAACGATGGCTGCTTGAAGCTCGGGTGCCGCGGCGATCACTTGTTTTTTTGCCTCCTTCGGTCCCCTGCCTCCACCCTTTCCATTTCCTGCTGGCTCGCCATCTGCATTCTCCGTGGTCGCTGCCCCGCGCTTGGCTCTCCATGCCATCGACATGCTGTGCTCTGGGAACCCCTGCCGGTCCTGGGTGGTGGAGCGTCATGTGCATTTGGACGTCGGTGAACTCTGCCTCTTGATACTTTCACATGCTGCGAGACAAATCCTGAGGTTCCGACGTGACATACGGTAGAGGGAAACAATTACTGAACACTCCCCTTCCCCCCCAAACTCAATGTTGGCACGCGCGGGGGAGACTGCGGTCGAAGTGCATCTCATCAGACCCACCGCCAACTTTGAACATTGGGGGGAGGGGGAGGCGTTGACGGATGAATGTGGCATGTGTTCGCTAAATTGTTCCGAGGCTTGTATGCCGTGCTTCGTTGCTGCTCGTCCTACGTGATCGGCTGCTATCTTACGGCTCGCGAGTGTCGACCTGCACCGCGGGCATTGGTTATTTCTTACGAGCTTGCTGGGAAGTGGCTCGATTCTGCGACGTTCTCTCTTGCGTGCTGCAAGTGCTGCTGCGTACGACTTGAATCGGCAACCACATGTTTCCTCCTTCCCGTCCGTCCCCAATCCTTATGAAGTCACACCAGAACGGTTTCTAAAGCTCTTCTGGCTCCCTCACTGCTGCTGCTGCTGTCTCCTCGGGCCGACTGTGCCCACTCCCTGGCTGCGTTGCTCATGATGCTCGGGTTTGTCTGAATACACTTGCTTGTGCTCTTCTGTGCTGGGGTCGAGCACGCATATGTCGTTTGTGCGCTCGTGCCACCATGCTTGCATGTCAGGACCGGTGCTAAAGAGGTCATGCATGTCCGACAACTATTGTTTAGAGCACGGTGTATTCTTGTTACAGATGCGTTTGGTAGGCGAAGACCTTTCAAACCCCATGGACACTTCACTTTTCGACCATCCCGAACTGCTGCTGTAACCGCCTCGTGGTCATCAGGGTAGATTGCCCACCCACCATAAGTATGTAGACGTCTTATTTTCAGTGTTTCTGCTGTCCCTTCTATCCTTTTATATTTGAATACTGCGTCCATGCTGTGTCTTCTACCTTGCTCATTTACGCAACCATGCTTGCCTCTGGACAAACATCTTAGAACTATGCGGGCCGATCTTCCGTACACTGGCCGAGACTCCGTCCAAACAGCGCTCTCGCCTCGGCGCGGGCAGCTCTCCGCCAGCGCCACCTGCACGCCGTGGCCAGTTTACGTGCGAATCGTGATGATGTCTCAGCAGAAGCCGGCTTTCTTGGTTGAGATGGGGGTGGGCTGGACGACATGGGCGAATCAAACGCACGTTTGACGACAGTCAAAATCGCAAGGATGTCCCAGCATATTGGGCCAGTTTAATTGCCGCCAGCTTCCGTCGAACGCGCGCAGAGCAACGGTCTGACGGTCATAATGGATCCTTGTGCAGGCAGTTGCTCGTCTCGTGGAAGATGTAGTGGAGATTATTCCCCGTATTCTACGTCGTATGTTCTTGTTATCCATGTCGCGCCTCTCATGACCTACTCCCGCCTCCTCCGCCCTCGCTCGGCTGGTCAGCGCGGGGTCGCCTTGCAACTGGGGCTGGTTTCCAGGATGGCCCTACGGCCCGCCGCATCCCATGCGGCCCATGCTGGTGATATGGGCCATCTGAATTATGCGGCCCTTGCAGCTTGCGCACTTCATGAGGCCCATGTGGCACATGCCGTTTCCGCGCGCCGAGCAAATCGCAGTCCACGTGCAGGTGTCACCCGTGTCGCTACACCCCGTGCATTATGCAGAAGCCACAGCGACAAGTGCGCCACCTGCATTTGGGCAGCGATTCTGTGTTCCCAACCATCCTGTGGTGTTGGTTCCTCGTTTTGAAGAGACAGCGCCCCGCGTTCCTTCCTTCCTCCTCCTCCCCCTCCTCCCTCCTCCGATCCATGCATCGCCCCTGTTTCGGCACACCCCTCACGCGTTTCGTGGCCCCGTAGGGAGCTCCACCGAAGGTCCCCGCGGTGCCACGGGACACTACGGGACACTTGTCGATCTCATTTTCGATCTCACTATTGATCTCACTCAACGGGACACCACGGGACACCACGGGCCATCACGGGACACCACGGGACACCGCAGGACACCTTTCGATCTCATTATCGGTCTCACTATCGATCTCACTATCGGTTTCACTCAACGGGACACCATAGGACGGGACACTACTGGACACCTCGGGACACCACATCGATCTCACTATCGATCTTATTATCGATCTCAGTCAACGGGACACCACGGGACACCACGGGACACTTGTCGATCTCACTATCGATCTCATTATCGATTTCACTTTTTGGGACACCACGGGACACCACGGGACACCCCGGGGCATTAGATACATCGATCTCAGTATCGATCTCAATATCGATCTCACTATCGATCTCACTCAACGGGACACCACGGGACACCACGGGACACCTGTTTATCTCATTATTAATATCAGTATCGATTTCACTTTTTGGGGCACCACGGGACATCACGGGTCACCTCGGAGCACCACATCGATCTCAGTATCGATCTCAGTATCGATCTGACTATCGATCTCATTCAACGGGACACCACGGGACACCACGGGACACCACGGGACACCACGGGACACCACGGGAATCCGCTGGACACCGCGAGCCACCGCTGGACAGACGGACGGATGGGCGGGCGGGGGAGAATCATTTGTTTTGATTTCGCCTTAGCAACGGCGGACACCACGGGACACCACGAGACACCACGGGACACCGCGGGACACCGCGGGCCACCGCCGGACGGGCGGGCGGGGGATAATAATTTGTCTTGACTTCGCCCTAGCAACGGCGGGTTCAGTCCTCTCGCGCGCCCACGCAGCTTCGCTTCGCCCGCACGCGCGACACGAACGAAACGAAACGATTTCCTGGTTGGGGGTCTCCATTCCTCTGCGATCTCACCCCCCAACCTCCGATCACTAATTTTCCAACCATCCACTGATTGGGGTTTTTCTCTGTTGTAATTTCGGTTTCCAGCCAGGCGGCGCCACGCGATACATTCGCGCACAACGATCATGGTCTTGTTCAGGTTTCCGGGAATTGTGCGACTGTCTGGCTGGACTCGTATTTTTCACAGAACAGCATCGATTGCGTAACAATCGCTGCGAACAAGCTCCGTTTCAGAACCTTGCCTGTTTTGGCTCACCATGAAGGCGAGCATTGTTTCCATGCTATTGTTGCTATTGCAATGCGCTTCTGTATTTCACTATCTACCGGAGGATGAAGAGAAGGATGAGGAGACCTCTTGGGAGCTTTGGGATCATTCTTGAGGCCTCCTGCGAGCTGTCTGGGGGCCTTTCGGAGGCCTCTTGGGGCGGCCCTCCTTGGGTCTCTTGGGGGACTTGGGGGACTTCTCTTAGGGGGCCTCTTTGGCAGTCCTGCGGCATTACTGGCCCGTCTGACGCCGACGGAAGCCGTCTTGGGAGCTTCTCTGGGCCTGCTTGGGGTTCTGGGGCGCTTCAAGGTCGTCTTGAAAAGACCATGTTGGGCGTCTTGGAGGCCTCTTGGGCCATCTTGGGGCCTTTTGGGGGACCGTCTTGGGGGCCTTTTGGGCCGTCCTGGGACCACCTTGAAGGCCTTTTGGGTGATCTTGGAGCAACGTTTGGGGCTTCTTTGGCAGTCTTGGGCCGTCGGAAGGCCGCTTTGAAACAACTGCCAGAATCCGTCGTCAATAGCTCACGGGAATCAATGATTTTGTCCTCTTCGGGCCTTCCTCCTGGGCCGTCTTAGGGTCCTCTTGCGTGCTTCTGGGCCGTCTTGGGCCTTCTTGGGCCATCTTGGCGGTCTCGGATGCATCTTGGGACCGTCTTGGAGGCCATCTTGGAGCTATCTTGGGCTCTCTTGTGGCAATCTTGCCCCTCTGGGAGGTCACATGGGCGGCCTGGGAGGCCATCTTAAGCGGACAAGCTGGCGGGAGACGCGTCTGGGCGAGTTTTCCGGGTGGCCGGCGGGATCGGCCGAAGCCCCAGGGGGAGCTTTACAAAGAACGAGGAACAACCAGTCACGCTGGGCACCCCTGTGATAAATCAACAGGGGGCGGTGTATCGAAGACGCCTACGGCGAATCACCGCCGCCCCCTGCCTTTTGGAATGGCCCATGTGGCCGAACGTTGTGGCCAGAGTTCTGCCACGCTATCGGACCATGTGCTCCCCCAGCCGTTGTGGAAACCCTTCGGGGAACGCGTGGCGGAGAAATAAGGAGCGGAGGAAAGGGAGGACAAATATGGAGGAGGAGGAGGAGACGGGGGAGGAGGAGGAGGTGGAGGAGGAGGAGGAGGAGGAGGAGGAGGAGGAGGAGGGGGAGTAGGAGGAGGAGGATAAGGAAAAGTGGGAGGCGTCTTGAGGTGTCACGGGGTCATTTTGGATGCCATTGGGGCCATCTTTGGGCGATCTTTGGGGCCTCTTGCGCCGTCTAGTTTTTTTGTTTTTGTTTTGTAAATGTTTTTTTTTTTTTTTTGGGGGGGGGTGTTGTTTTCAATAATACCATAAGTTTCAAACAAAATTGACGACGACGGCGACGACGACGACCACGACGACGATTACGACGACGACGACGACGACGACGACGACGACCACAGCGGCGGCGGCGTCGGCGGCGGCGGCGACGACGACGACGACGACGGCGGCGGCGGCGACGACGACGACGACGACGACGACGGCGACGACCCCCCACCGGCCGAGGCGGCTGCCGCCTGGGGCCGTTGCCTACGAGTGCTTCCTCAAGGCCTGTGGGGCGGGGCAGGCCTAGAGATTGACACCAACACCAACATCGGCGGTGTTCCTCCACCGCGGGAAGACGGATCCCGATCTCGGTGATGGTGGCAATGTGCGGGCTTCCAGGGTGGCCGAACTATTGCCGCCAACACCGAACGTCTAGGATGATCTTCCCCCCTGTGGCAGGGCTCGTTTCGAATCCTCCGATTCGATTCGATTCGACTCCGATGGATTCCGATTCCGATTTGAGTCGATTTCGGATTCCGATTTGGGCTCCGATTTCTTATTGGACGCATACTAGCCTGCAGATTTCCGCCGATTCGGCTTTTCCCGACTCGGCTGCCGATTTTTGCCGATCCGACTCATTTCGATCGCCGATCCGACTTATCGATTCGATTCTGGGCTCCCCTGCCCTGTGGAGGCACCCCCCTGTGTTGGTGTTGGTGCCAATTTCCAGGCCTCCAAGGGCGGGGCAGGGCGGCCGGCAGGGCGGCGGGCCGTGCTCCCGGCCCCGGGTCCTCGCAGCCTTCGCTCGCAGGGTTGCGGTCGCGCCTGTCGCCCCGGGTCCGAGGCGGAGGGCTTCTCCGGAGGGCTTAGGCGACCCGTCCTCCTCCTCCTCCTCCTCCTCCTCCTCCTCCTCCTCGCTCCTCCTCCTCCTCCTCCTCCTCCTCCCTCCTCCTCCTCCTCCTCCTCCTCCTCCTCCTCCTGCTCCTGCTCCTCCTCCTGCTCCTCCTCCTCCTCCTCCTGCTCCTCTCCTCCTCCTCCTCTTTCTCCTCCCTTCTCCTCCATCTCCTCCTCCTCTCCTTCTCCTCCACCTCTTCCTTCTCCTCCTCCTCTCCTCCTTCCTCCTCCTCCTCTTCCTCGTCCTTCTCCTCCTCCTCCTCCTCCTCCTCCTCCTCCTCCTCCTCCTCCTCCCCATCGGGTCGTTTACGGCCCCCGGGGTAACCGTGCAGTCCGAGGCGGGGACTTTGTGCGGAATTCGGCGACTAACTAGAACGGGTGTGGTTACGCTGGGGTGTGGTTTGCGATCGGCGCCGTTGGGGCCCTGTTGGGGCCCTGTTGGGGGTCACCACTTTGCGCCACAGGTTTGATGGGTCCTGGTCAGGGCGCCTCAGAGATCTTCGTTGAGGTCCTCGCCCGCCCCCCCAGGCGCGGGCTGCAAGCCACACCCTTTGCAGCCCACACCCTTCTGGGTCGCCGAATCACCACCGCCTGGGGGATTGACCTCCGGGGAACCCGGCAGGCGTTGGACATGGACATATTCGGGCCCCATGGGGCCAAGATACGGTAGGTTCGCGTCGTGTCGACCGGCGGCGACCCCGCCGCCGGCGTTCAACGTTGAACGCCGCCGGCGGCCCAGAATCGATCGATGTTGAACGATTGGACGTTGCGGAAACGGCCGATCGTTCAAGGTTGAATGATCCCCGCGGTGTCAAAAACCAACCCTGGGGTCGGCACGACACGAACCTGCCGTACATCCATAGTCACCGCCCGTTGGGTCCCAGGACGTCAGTTCCCCGGGCGGCGGGAGCAGATCTGTCCCCGCCCTGCACCTCGGATCCCGCGTCTGCCCCCGGTCGTAGCCGTCCGGCTGTTTCACTTGTATCTTGCATACGTCGTGAATCACCACCTACCAAACCACCCCAACCCAACCCGAAGGCCTCAATTTGCCCTCCATTTCCAGTGGGGGGGGGTCGGGGAACATCGAAGAAACACATGGAATCCGTATCCCCCCCAACCCGAAATTCGGGTCAAATTCGGGCCTTCGGGTTGGGTTGGGGTGGTCTGGTAGGTAGTCAGTGAACGCGGACTATGTCAGGGGGAGTATGTGTAATTCAGTCGGAAGTGTTCCGTTACAGGAGGAATCTTCGAACATGGTTCAAGCAGAGCTGTTTTGGAACGACTTGCTGTGTTGTTTTGATGATATGGGGCTATGCTTTATGTTCTTTCAAAACCCGCCTTTTGGAGGACATGCCCGATCTTATTGTAGATGAGCCCAGAGGCGACTCCAATCAGGCATATTATTTTGCCGGCGGCGAGGCCAAGCCCAGAGAATTGTCCAGCCAATCTAGCAAGTGGATCACGCTGTCACATGTCACAAAACGTTGCCTTGCTTTGCTCCCGCATGCTTTGCTTGGCCTGGCATAATATGTATTCCTCTGCGTTCTCCGTTCGGCCCGACTCTGCAGTGCAGTTCCACTGCAGCGCTGCTGTTCTGCATCGCACTGCCCTGCTCAGCTCCTCGTGTGCGCTAAGCGGAATCGGGCCTTGCCCTGCCTTGCAGTGCAGTGCTGCAGCGCGGCGCAGCGCACCGCACCGCAGGTTCTCTATGCCTGCACGTCCAGCCCACCGTGCGGTATCGCCCCTCTTTTGCTCTGCACTCCCTGCCCTGCAGTGCAGTGCTGCAGCCGCAGCGCAGCGCACCGCGCCGCAGGTCCTCCCTGCCTGCACGCCCAGCCCACCGTGCGGCATTGCCCTTGGCATCGCTCGGACGTGTGCATTTTTTGGGGGGCGAGGACCATCGAAGGGCATGGTGAGTCACCTTACGACAGAATGCGCGCACGACATCGAAAAATGCACAGGGAATTCGGCAACACCCAAACATACTTATACTACATGTGCGTCGCCCCCCCAGGGGCGACGCGCGCACCGAGAAATCTTATAGTATATGCGTCGTGGCGGGCGCTTCCTGGCCACACCGCTCGGGAAACGATATACTACAAGATGGGTATACTATATGTTCGGGTCGGACGCGCGCCTCCAAGGAGGACATATAGTATTAGTATGTCCATGTGCGTCCCAGGAATGGACGTCCGAGCGATGGCGAGTGCCTCTTCTGCTCCGCACTGCGCGCCACCAGGACGCCGGGCATGTGTGCAGCAGCAGCCGCGGCGCAAGCGCGGGCGGCGGGGCGGCGGGCCGCCCTCCCTCCCCCCCTCCCCTGGCATCGCTCGGACGTGTGCATTTTTCCTTCGGCGAGGGCCATCGAGGAGCATCCCTGCTCATCTGGCGAAAGAGCCACCCTCGAAGCCGAGCAAAAACACAGGGAATGGGCGTCCGAGCGATGGCCAGCCCCCCCTTGACGGGCGCCTCCCCTGGACGGGCGAGCCCGCCCGCGCGAGCGCCGAGAGCGGCGGCGGCGGGCGGTGCTGCCGGGGAGCGGGCGCTCCTCCTCTGCGGCGGCGGCGCGCGCCGGGGGGGGGTGGCAGGGGGAGGGCGGAGGGCGTCCTGGGAGGGAGGCTGCCTCTCAGAGGGCGCGGGCCGCACATCCGCACATCCGCAGACGGGGCCCGCGCCTTCGAAGAAGCAGCCCCCCTCGGAGAGGCTTTCCCCCCTCCCCCATCCTACCCCCTGCGCGCCCGCCAGTCCTTGGCACCCCTTCCCCTGCAAGGTCCGTTCTGGCTCGATTTCGACTCAGTGCATCCGATGCAGCCCTGTTGGATGCAGGTTCTGATCGGGCTTTACTCCTCGATTTAATGCCGATTGATCCTGCCCTGAGGCGGTGATCCGCACGGACATAGGTGGGGGCTACCTTTTATTTCCTCCAGGAAGTGTTCGCCTCGTTTGCTTTCTACCACACCCCCAAGGGTCGGTTGCCAACATCCAGGCGCAGGTACTTAAGGATAAGACAGCTGACAGCCCTACCTTCATGAAGGGCTGGCCCAGGCGATTCGACGAGAGAGCATCAACAAAGAGATCTGAGCCAGTGTGTATGATGCGGTTTCGCTCGCGTTGCCATGAATTTGTATGCACGCATGTATCTGCTGACGTCTGGGCTCGAATGGCCCCCGTGCGGCATCTTGGCTCCACACGGGAGCTAGCTTGCTAGGATTTTCACCAGCACATTCGCCCAACATTCGCACGGGCATCCGCACGGGCATCCGCAACGTTTCATGCCGACGACTCGAATGGACGGGGGACTGGTGGCGTGGAGGGTTTCTCCGAAGGGCTTAGGCGACCCCTCCTCCTCCTCCTCATCCTCCTCCTCCTCCTCTTCCTCTTCCTCCTCCTCCTCCTCGCTCCTCCTCCTCCTCCCCCTCCCCCCTCCACCTCCTCCTCCTCTTCCTCCTCCTCCTTGTCCTCCTCCTCGGGTCGCCTACGGCCGCAGGGGAAACCGTGCAGGGATCGGTGGCGTATGCACCCGAGTGCGGGGTCCCGGGCCGGGGGACCCATTTTGGGGAACGCCCCCTCCCCTGTGGGAGGACCTGCCCCATGTGGGAGGCCCCGCCCCCCGCGCACGATGCCCCGACTATCGGCGGCGGAATCCGAACCCTGCCGTCGCCGATCAACGATTCGGGCAACTCGATGGGAGACGGGGGTAGGGTTCGGAATGCGTCGAACACGGGGCGAGATCCGAATCCTACCCCCGCCTCCCATCGAGTGAGGAAATCCGATGGCTGGCGGTTGGTGAGGTTCGGTTGTCGCCACCCAAGCGAGACACGGACGCCCAGGATGCTCGGCTCATACCGTGCACAACGCCCGCGCCTCAGGACTGCTCCTCCAACGGGACGCACGTCAACGGGAGCGTCGTCGGCAGGGGCAATTCGAGGCCGGCCGCGTTTGCATATGTGCCCTGCTGCCTTCTGCGGTCGTGCACTACAGCCTGGGCGCGGCAGTCAGGGTGGAGCATGTGCAGGGTTGCCGTCGGGTATCCCGTCGGAGGAGGCTGGGAATGTGAAGGATGAGGATGAAGAGGCGGAGGAGGCGGAGGAGGAGGCGGCGGAGGAGGAGGATGATGAGGAGGAGGAGTAGCGACAACGACGTCGGCGACGACAAGTGATGGTGGTGGTGGTGATGACGGCGGTGATCAGGAGGATGGACAAGTATCGACTGAAGGAAGGCGGAGGAGGGATAAAGGAGAGGGGTGGGATGTGAAGGGAGGGGAGACAGGAGAGGGATGGAGGGATGGTACGGAATGGGGTGAGGAGGAGGGGGAGGAGGATGATGGGGATAATTTGACGGAGGAGGGGGATTACTCCGGGAGGAGGAATTCCGAGGGGGAAGGTGACGAGGAGGAGTTGGGGAGGGAAGAGGTAGAAGAGGTGGAAGAGGAGGAGGAGGAGGACGCGAAGCACGATGATGAGCTCATCCTTCTCCTCCTCCAACTCCTCCTCCCTGCCCCTCCCTCCTTCCTCCCTTTCTCTTCGGCGGCACGCTTTTTTTTTGTGTGTGTGTGTTTGTTTGTCTTCTAGTTCTCTCCCTCTTTTTGTTTGTTTCTCTCTCTCTCTCCCCCCTTTGTTATGTTCTACCTATCTCTTTCTCTTTCTCTTCTCTCTTTCTCTCGCTCCCTCCCTCTCCCTCTCCTTCTTTTTGCTCTCTCTCTCTCTCTCCCTCTTTCTCCCTCTTTTTTTTTCTCTCTCTCTCTCTCTTGGGGCTGCATGATCCACGCGGCGCCTGAGATCAGCGCCCACGTCGTCACGACAGGAACCGGCCGCACCCGCCGGACGTCGGTGCTGCCGTCGTGCTCTCGCGACGGGGGCGGCGACGCAGGGTGCCGCAGCGGTGTGCCTGAGGAGACCCCGCGGGGGGAGCGGTCGTCTCCGGCAGAGACGTGGCTCGTGGCTGGATGCACGACAGGTCCTCCACCCTCTTCTTCCTCCTCCTCCTCTTCCTCCTCCTCCCGCCCTCCTCCTCCTCTTCCTCCCTCCCTCCTCCCTCCCTCCCTCCTCCTCCTCCTCCTCCTCCTCCTCCTTCCTTCCTCTCTCCTCCTCCTCCTCCTCCTCCTTCTCCTCCTCCTCCTCCTCCTCCTCCTCCTCCTCCTCCTCCTCCCTTGCCCCCTGGCAGTGACGCACCTCCCGACTCCGACCTCCCGTCCTGCCGCGCCGCCGCGCGGGCCCATTTCCGCGCTGGGGTGGGTGGACGGGGGGCGGGAACTGGTCCACGACCCACCCCGTGTCCGCGACTGAGCGTCTTGTCGTCCCGCGATTTCTCCCTTGGGGGGCCGAGCGAGAAGGCTGGAGGAGGAGGGAGCAAGAGGATGCGGATGAGGATGCGGACGAGGATGCGGATCAGGAGGAGGAGGAGGAGGAGGAGGAGGAGGAGGAGGAGAGGAGGAGGAGGAGGAGGAGGAGGAGGAGGAGGAGGAGGAGGAGGAGAGGAGGAGGAGGAGGAGGAGGAGGAGGGGAGGAGGAGGAGGAGGAGGGAGGAGGAGGAGGAGGAGGAGGAGGAGGAGGAGGAGGAGGAGGAGGAGGAGGAGGAGAGAGGAGGAGGAGGAGGAGAGGAGGAGGAGGAGAGGAGGAGGATGGAGGAAGTGAGCAGCAGGCGATGGATGCGCACGGCTGGGCTCGATGCGAGGGGGGGGGCGGGCACAGCTGAGCATTACTTCCCAGGCTTCGGCGCCGTGCCTTCTTGGGTCCACGGCCACTGGACGCCTCGACCGGGGCGTGAGCATTTGTTTTCCATCCTAGATCGTCTTTCGATGGCCTTGGGACCCGACGGCGGGCCTCCGGATGCCGACTTTGAGGCGACGTGCTGGCATCGGGCAGCTCTCGGCATCGGAGCTCTGTGTCTTTCAGAGGTCCCCGAGGCCTCTTGGAGGCCTCCCGAGGCACCGAAGGACCAGGAGTGTCCAGATGCCCTGGTCCTTCCTCGTGCGTCCCTCGCTCCCTCCCTGGGGATCGGAGCGGGGGAGGGGGCCCGAGGACGATCGAGGATCGAGAATCGAGGAGGTTCGAGGATCGAGGATCGAGAATCCCTTCCTTCCCCCCTGCCTCTCATGTTCTAGCTTCAGGTGCCTCGGGCCGCAGCCCCGATGTCAGGTCGCAGCTCCTCGGGCTCTCTGCCGCGCGTGCTGCCCTGCTCTGCGCCGCCTCCCCCCTCGTGCAGGCAGATCCGCTCCGGGGACGAGATCTCGGTCCTGCCCGCGTCGAACGTGGGCGAGGATGAGCAGGCCACGCGGAGGAAAGCAGGGTTAAGTCGGGCCTGTCCCCCTACAGGGGGTTTTCGACGAAAAATAAACCATATTCGAAACATAATCAAAACATAGTCCAAACATGGTCTGGGGACTATGTTTTGGGTATTTTTTGGCCTTCCTGGGGTATTTTTGGGGTATGTTTTATTTCTCGTCGAAAATCCCCCTGCAGGGGGACACGCCCGACATAAAAGCAGGGGTTCTTGGCATCGCTCGGACGTGTGATTTTTGTTCTCGGCGAGGACCATCGAAGGGCATCCTGGATCATCGAGCAAGAAAAACACTTTTTGGTCTGCGGGGCGAGAGCGAACCTCTTTCGATAAAAGCTAAGACGAGCAAGAAAAACACGCACAAAACAGACAAACGCACAGGGAGTGGACGTCCGAGCGACGGCAAGACATGGGGTTGGCCCGAACAGTGTTTTTGTTCCGCGATTTCGTGGGCCGTTGTCTCTTCGATCTCGTCCTGCAGGAGGGGCGGCTTTGAAGAGAACACGAGGGAGCACGAAGACAAAACGAACACGGAAAGCAAGGTTTAGGTCGAGCCATGCCCCTCCTTCCAGGCCTCGGAACAAATCAGCGAACACATGCCACATTCAACGGTCAACGCTTCCCCCTCCCCCCAGTGTGCAACGTTGGCGGTGAGTCTGATGAGATGCACTTCGACCGCGGTCTCCCCCCCCGCGTGCCAACGTTGAATTTTTGGGGGGAGGGGGCGTGCTCAGTAATTGTTTCCCTCTACCGTCCGTCCCTCTCCTCCCTCGTGTCCGTCCTTCTCCTCGTGTCCTCCCCGTGTCCTCCCCGTGCCCTTCGTCGTCGTCCCTCGTGCATCTCCTCGTGTCCTCCCCGTGCCCTTCGTGCCCTCCCCGTGCCTCTCCTCGTGTCCTCCCCGTGCCCTTCGTGTCCTCTCCTCGTGTCCTCCCCGTGCCCTTCGTCCCCCTCCCCCAGCCGCTCCCTCACCCCGCCGCCGCTCCTCCTCCTCCCTTCCTCGCCTCTCCGTGCCCCTCCCCTTCCCCTCGCTTCGCCCCCCTAAAACTCCCTCCTTTCCCCCCTCCCTCTCCTCCTCCCCATCCTCCGCCGCCTCGTCTTCCTGCTCTTCCTCCTCGGTCTCCACCTCGTCCTCGTTCCTTCTTTTCCTCCTCCCCGCCCTCGGTCCCCACCCGCCGCCTCCGTCGACGCCTCCTTCTCCGCCCCCTCCGCCGCCGCCTCCGCCTCCTCCTCTGACTCTGGCGGAAGGGTTTTCTTTTCTTGATTCACCAGGGCCTCCAGTTGCCCCGCTGTCTTTTCGTCCATCCTCGTCCGCATCCTTCTCCTCCCGGTTCTCCTCCCTCGTCAAACTTGGTCTTTCAAAAGACTTGGTCTCTCTCCGCCTGCCCGCTTTGGAGGAGATCATGAGGATTATGAGGAGGATGACGAGGACGCGGACGGGGAGGTCACTACTGGTTCGAACCCCTCCCCCCCCACGCTCACCGCCTGTCCTGGGTCCCCACCACCGTTCGCACTACATCCCCCACTGCTTTCCCCAGCACCACTGTCCTCACCACCATTGTCCCCGCTGTTCCCACCACCGTCCCCACTGTCCCCACCAGTGCCCCCACCATTGTCACACTGTCCCCACTGTCCCCCACTGTCCCCACCACTGTTCCCACCACGGTCCCACTCTCCCCACTTTCCCCACGGCCCCAACCACTGTCCCACTGTCCCCACTGTCCCACTGTCCCCACTGTCCCACTGTCCCTGCCGCTGTTCCACTGAGCTGTCCCACTGTTCCCACCACTGTCCCCACTGTCCCCACCACTGTCCCCACCACTCTCGCCACTGTACTACTGTCCCACCACTGTCCTCACCACCGCCTTCACCACAGTCCCCACCACCACTGTCCCCACCACTGTCCTTCAGTCCCCACCACTGTCCCACTGTCCCCACTGTTCCCACCATTGTCCCCGCTGTCCCCACCAGCGGTCCCCACCACTGTCCCACTGTCCCCACTGTACCCACCACTGTCCCACTGTCCTGGCCGCTGTCCCACTGTCCCCTCTGTCCCACCACTGTCCCACCGTCCCCACTGTCCTCCCCACCATTGTCCCACTGTCCCCTCTGTCCCCACCACTCTCCCCACTGTACTACTGTCCCACCACTGTCCTCACCACCGCCTTCACCGCCGTCCCCACCACTACCGTCCCCACCACTGTCCCACTGTCCCCACCACTGTCCCGCTGTCCCCTCACCACTGTCCTCACCACCACCGTCCTCACCACTGCCCGCACCACTGTCCCACTGTCCACGCACCACTGTCACCACCACCATCGTTCCCACCACTGTCCCAGTGTCCCCACCATTGTCCAATTGTCCCGAGGAGCGGGAATACTTTGCCGGCGGCGAGGGGGGGGGGTTCGAACCGGTAGTGACCCCCCCCCGGTTTTCGAGGGGGGGGGGGTTCGAACTGGTAGTGACCCCCCCTCCCTTTTCATGATGGAGTGGGGGGGGTTCGAATTGGTTATGACCCCCCCCCGGTTTTCGAGGGGGGATGGGGGGGACGGATTGGGATCCCCCCGTGACCCCCTCGGTTTTCCGCCAGCAGCGGTAGAACACGCTCTTTCTGATGTTGAAGCTGATAATGATTATGATGAGGATCCTGATCATGATCTTGATGATGGATGGTGCTGGTTAAAGGGGGGGAGGAGGAGGAGGAGGAGGAGGAGGAGGAGGAGGAGGAGGAGGAGGCGTAGGAAATGGACATGGAGGCAGGATGAGGAGGAGGAGCAGAGGGATGAAGAGGGCAAACGGACTCGATCTGCGGACCTCCTGAACACCGACACAAAGAACCGTCGATTCCCAGAAAAGCTATTGAACATTTGGGGAATCTGAGGGGAAGACGACCATCCAGAACATACGGAAAATTAGCAGGGATCCTGGGACTCATGTCTATCTGTTTGTGTATGTCCCTGGGCCCTTTCATGGACCCGGGTATCCGAGGATGTGATTTTGTGAGTCCGCGACCCGAGAGGCCCCGACCCGTTCCTCGCGGCCGGGGGCAGATTTTCCCCCCCTCTGGATCAATCTCTACGGCCCCTGCGCCGTGGAGCGGCCCCGAGAGGCCAGCATCGCGGAGAGTCGTCGTCGCTGTCGTCGTCGTCGTCGTCGCCGTCGTCGTCGTTGTCGTCGTCGTCGTCGTCGCCGTCGTCGCCGTCGTCGTCGTCGTCATCGTCGTCGTCGCCGTCGTCATCGTCGTCGGCCGGCCCTGAGAGGCTGGCATCCCAGAAAAATCACCACGTCGGAAGCATGAGCCCATTCCCTCTCGGACCGGTCCGTCCTTCCAAGTCGTGATTTCACGTTCCTGGGGCCCGGTGAGGGCGCCGTGAGCGCGAGCACGTCGTTCGGCATCACATCATGGGAGCTGGGTATACCCTGTTAAACTCCGTCTTCAGCGTCGATTGGCGTCGATCAGCGTTTGGGAGTCGATGAGATAGCGCCGATTTGGCGTCCGCCAGCGTCGATTTAGCGTCGAATTAGCGTCGATCAGCGTCGATTGGCGTCGATTCGCAAGAGCCGATAAGATGGTATGGGAGGCTCCCATGAGTTGCTACCGAAAAGCACGTCGTGTTTTCTTCGAGGCGCCGTGGGGGTTTGGGATGCTCAAACTTCCTGCCGTGAGGGCTTGACGACTTCTGCTGTCCCTCGACTTGCCCTGAGCTTCGAGGATTTGCTCTAGATTTCCCTGGAGGTCTTTGGGTTGGCCCATATTTGGTTGGACTTGCTTACCTTTGCTTGTCTGGCTCTATCCACGAAAGTCGATCAGAGAAAAGTTGTCAGGCCCTCCTGGATGGTGGACGGCCGTCCCCATGGCAGGCGAGCGACGCAACATAAGCGGGGTCGTCTGCGCTGACATTGGCGCGTAAGCTGCTCGCGTAAAGTCGCGTGCAGGCGTCCTTGCCTCCAGCTCAGCGTACCGCGCCGGCGGCCCGCGTAGGCCACCGCGTAAGGTCGCTATGCCGTCTCGCGCAAAACCGTTTTGGATCGCCGCCCGCCGCCCGTGAAGGGGTGACGCGTGCGCCGAGAAATCTTACAGCACGTGCTCCGTGGCGGGCGCCGGTTGGCCGCATTCTCCTCGCGAAGCACTGTGCACTACCAGATGGTCACACTGTACGGTTCGGGCCGGAGGCACGCCTCCGAGGAGGACGCGCAGCACCAGTGTGCTTCCTTCTGCACGGCATGCCCCTCCTAGTCATCCCGCTGCCAGCGCGGGGCCTTCCCCGCCTGGGCCCCCGACGCTCCAAGTGTGTGTGTGTGCGCCTTGTGTCAATGGCATAAAAAACGCCCCTACCCTGGTTTACGAGGCGCTGTGCGCTGAAACTCCTGTGGGCTGACAGGGTAAACCCTGCGTGATGTGCCGCGCCCTGGCGGCTCTAGGGTTTGGGGGTTCCCAGGAGTTTTACAGACCACGCACTTGCAACCCAGGGTAGGGTCGATTTTTCGTCCCTAAATTGTGCGTCCCAGCGGACGGCCGTCCCCGCGGCAGGTCAGCTTCCTCTTCCGCAACACCACCGAGGTGCTCGCGGAGGCGGAGGAGGACCGGCCGCTCCGCGAGCTGGAGGAGCGCCCGCCCCCCGCCTCGCCGCCGCGGCGCCCCCGGCCCGGCTCCTAGGCCCCTTGGGCGGCGCGTCGACCGCGGCCTCCCGCCGGGGGGGGGGCGACCCACGCGGTGATTTTTGGCGATTTCGTGGGCCGTTCTCGACTAGACGTAAGAGTGACCTTTCGCCGGAGTGACCTTTGGTGCGGGCACAGATGGGTCCACAGATGGCTGAAAACGAAGCAGTAGCAGCTGCTTGCGCGCCCAGGTTTGGTCCCCCCGCGGCCCCCGAAAATTCGCGCACCAAAGGTCACTCTTACCCAGGGTCACTCTTGCGTATAGCCGACGTTGTCGCTCCGATTCCGTTCCGTTCTGCAGCAAGGGCAGATGGGAGGGCAACACGACGGAGAAGGCGAGGACGCAGCGAGACAGCTGCCACGAACTCTGTTCAGGTCGATCCCTGCCTCCTACACAGTCGGGGCGCTGGAGAAGGAGCCCTTTTCGCTGGGGAGGGGGCTCGGTGTTCCTTGATTGTTTCAAAGTTTGCCTTGGGTTTTCCTGGGGTTTTCCATAGAACATCGAGGTTGAACTTATGGGAAAAAGGGGCCTCGTTCCTTATTTAGGGTTCCTTAGGTCAACGCCCCGACTGTACCTCGAGGGGCCACGAGGAGTGAGGATCGAGGCTCGCTGCCGTTCCTCCGAGCTCCGGGCGATGGCTTTTTTTTCACACCTGGCTTTTTTCCGGTTCCGGGCGGGCCCCGGGACCATCCCGGACTCCAGATCGGTCCGGCCACCAGAAAGATCGGGGGTGGACAGACTTCCTACCCTGACAGCCTGACACGTCGATTAAGGAATTGGCCGTTTTCGGTTCGCGAGAGGGCGTCGCGGCCGTCATTTTTGCGGGTCCAGGTCCGTCGGTTTCAGTCCCAGGCCGTTTTCACTAAGGAGAGGTCTACTAAAGGGAGGTTTGTCCACCGCCGAAGAAAGATGGGGTCTGGGGCTCCGGTCGTGATTTTTCGCGATGCTGCATTTTTTTTGCGACGTCGGATCTCGGGGTTCTGGCTCGTCCTGTAGGCTGTAGGTGGGCGCAACTTGTGCACCCGCACTGATCCTGGCCAGGTCCGCCTCAGCCGAAGTCGGCGGGTATCGCGGGTTGGGTAATGAAAGACACGCGGGCAAGTATCAGTTTTTTGTTTGTTTGTGTGTTGTTTATGATAGACCCCTTATAGGCGCCCTGGCGCTCTCGCCGAGGCGCCGGCTGCATTTTCATTGAAAATGAGGCTCACTCTCAAGCGGTTTGGGGGACCGCTATACCCGGCCCCCCAACATCAACAACGCTCCCGTTCGAGACTCCCTTCTGTTTTACTCAGGGCCGGTGCCCTTGCTCGCCCTTGAAAGCAGCCTCCTCAACAAAACCAGCGCTCCCGCTCGAGACTTCCTCCCGTTTTACCTTGGACAGGCGCGCTACTCTTTCTCTCATCGGCGCCGCCCCCCAGCAATAACAACGCTCCCGCTCGAGACCTTCTCCCTTTTTTACTCAAGGCGGTGCTTTTGCTCGCCGCCGACAGCTCCTGTCCCAACAAAACCAGCGCTCCCGCCCGAGATTTCCTCGCGTTTTACGCTGGACTGGCGCCCTTTTCTCCTCCTCCTCCTCCTCCTCCTCGTCCTCGTCCTCCTTCTCCTCCTCCTCCATCTCCTCCTCCTCCTCCTTCTTCTCCTCCTCCCTCCTTCTCCCTCCCTCCTCTTCCCCCCTCTTCCTTCCTCCACCCCCTCCTCTCCTCCCTCCTCCCTCCTCCCTCCTCCGTCCCTCTTTCCGCCCTCTTTTTCTGGTTTCGGTGGCGCGAATATTAGGTACTTTGCGTTTGTGTATGGCTTCGGGGACGCGAATATTGTGTACTCCGAAATGCATATTAATCAACTGGGGGGTTGACAAACTTGAAAACGCGGCGCGGCCAACCCCACCCCCGGCACCGCCCCTCGCCCCAGCGGGGGAGGGAACGAACCCCAGACCCCCCCTGGCACCCCTGCGGACGCGCCGCGGCCAACCCCCCCTGGCACTCCAAGGGAGGGGGGGGGCGATTATTAAGCGACCCAGAATAATTTACGGAGGTTTGTGGCTTCGGGGACGCAAGTATGGTATCATTCGCGGAAATTTATGGCTTCGGGGGCGCAGATATCGCGTAATTTATAAAGGTTTGTGGCCTCGGGGATGCGAAACTTGTAATTTGCAAGGGTTTGTGGCTTCGGGGGCGCACGCGTGGTGTAATTTATGGGCGTGTATGACCCTGGGGCCGCGAATCTTGCGTAATTGTCGAAGGTTTCTGGCTTCGGGGGCGGGAGTATTTTACAATTTTCAGTGGTTGATGGTATCGGGGCCCCGTATATTATATAATTTACAAGGGTTTATGGCTTCGGGGGCGCGAGCATTGAGTACTTTACAACGGATTAGCGTAGTTAGCGATGGATTCTGGTTTCGTGGGCGCGAGTATTGCGTAATTTACAAGGGTTTCTGTCCTCGGGGACGCGAGTATGGTGTGATTTAGTCAGGATTATTTAATCGCTTCGCTCATTGCGCCGGCCCTGGAGCGCTATTTGGGGCCTCTTGGGGCCGTCTTGGGGGCCTCTTGGGGGCTTCTTGGGAGCGTCTTGGGGCTCCTTGACGGCGTCTTGGGCTCCCCTGGGGGCTCTTGGGGGGCTCTTGGGGGCCCCTTGGGGCGGGAGGGGGGGTAGTCGATTGCAGCCGGCCCCTCGGAGGCCACGATCCTCGTGAGGGGTGGCGAAAAATAGCCTCCCCCCTGGGGATCGCCCGGGACCCGGCCAGGGATCGGCCCGGGGTACTTTTCGTCCGGGAGCCCCCAGGGGCCGCCCCGCGCGCGCGAACTAGATCTATTGTTAAGTAGTTACCGGAGATCTTAGCACGCCTCTGGCCCGTTGGGCCGGCGAATGTATGGCCTCGGGGGCGCGAGCCTCAGGTATTTTTACGTGCCCCACGCCCCCCCAGGAATTCAGACAACGCGATTCGGGGACGCTAACCAGGGCGCTTTTCGGCTCCCCCCTTCGCGCGTTCAGCAACAATTAGCGGTGAAACCGGAAAACTGCAATTGGTTGAGGGAGCCGCAAGCCTCATCTTCGCAGCCTGGTGGCCCCGCAAGGGGACCAGCGGATTGCCGGGTGCCAGCTATACACACTCGGCCTGGCCAGTGCCAGTGTAGGTGTATAGTTTGCGTCATCCTATGAGGTGTTGCTTTTCCTTCTTCTCCTCCTCCTCCTCCTCGTCCTCCCTCCTCTTCCTCCTCCTCTTCCTCCTGCTGCTGCTGCTGATGCTCCTCCTCCTCCTTCTCTTCCTCCTCCTCCTGCTCCTCCTCCTCCTCCTGCTCCTCTTCCTCCTCCTCCTCTTCCTCCTCCTCCTCCTCCTCCTGCTCCTCTTCCTCCTCCTCCTCCTCCTCTTCCTCCTGCTCCGGCTCCTCCTCCTGCTCCTCCAAATCCTCCCGCCCCCCCCGATGTGCACCTGCCTCCTGGAGGGAGTGCATTTTTTTCCTGGGGGGGGGGGCGGGCGCCCAGCCTTCCCGAGGACCTTGTGCAGTGCCCGATCTGCTTGCAGGACCGTGCGCTCCGCGCCCCCGCCCCGCCTCCCCCCACGAGGACGCGGAGGAGGAGGAGGAGGAGGAGGAGGAGGAGGAGGAGGAGGCGGAGGAGGAGGAGGAGGAGGAGGAGGAGGAGGAGGAGGATGGATAGGAGGAGGAGGAGGAGGAGGAGGAGGAGGAGGAGGAGGAGGAGGAGGAGGAGGAGGAGGTGGAGGAGGAGGAGGAGGAGTCGGGATCGGGATCGGGACGATCACAAGGTGATATCATCTGCACAATGCCACCCCCTGAACACCTCCAGGAAGACGAGGAACAGGTTGAAAGCGAAGACGAAACTGATGACACAGTAGCTGCAGTAAAGGGACAGCGAGGCCTTCAGCATATTTCAAATACAGCCCAAATATTGACAGCGGCTAAACAGGTAGGATTAAGCTCGATACGGCCCTATCCGTGGTCAACGGGCAAACTTTCACAACTCGCAGAAGAACCTAACTGCGAGGATACTGAGCTCGCTACCTCCAGAGCTGCCTCTCCCATTGCCCCAGTTGAAGGCCATACAGATCATGCTCCTCAGCACGGTTGCGCACCACCAAGAACATACTTACGTGATAACTGATGGAATTCCCCACGACAGCAGACCGCAGAACACCAGCCCACACACTGTAAACATATGATAGCTGAAATGGTCGTGCACGCAACACGCCCAGTACGCTGCTACCTCCCGAGCAAGAAGATGTGTGAACACTTCCAGAAACCACGGGCTCCCGAGACACTCTGCACGGTGAGCGGGGAAAACTGATTATGACAAATATCTGCTAGCCTTGGCCCAAACACACACACACACTCAGCTGGTCCACTGCGACACTGCACGGGAGGGCGCGCCGACGGACCGCTGATCGAGCCACGCACCGATATAGATAGCTGCCACTGCCCGCTTCGCAAAAGCAAAGCAACACTAGCTGCCACTGCCTGCCCTTCTCGCACGTGCTGGTCCAAGCAAAGTAGCTGATGACGTTCTGGGACAGCTCCGCCTCCCATGCCGAGCCGCGCACCGACTGCAGTAGCTGCCATTGCTCACCCTTCTCGCACGTGCTGGGCCAAGCATCAGAGCTGATGACGATCAGCTCGAATATCGCCTCCCGCACTGACTTCCTCGATGACTGCCCCAGCCGCCACTGCCCAGACGCTGCGACCAAAGCCCGCGGCCACTGCTCAGCCCTCGATGCACTGGCCCATTGCAGCACTGAACCTGAGAACGCGCCGATGGGCCGTGCTGGCGGCCACTGCCCAGCCATTGGTGCGCGGGCCCGTTGCGACACGCGCACAAAGTAACAGCGCGACCATTACGTCGGGGCGGACCATGCCCAGGTCGAAGGCGTGACCCGAAGAGAGTGGCTGAGAGTGCGAGGGAGACTATGACGAACAGCTGCTGCGAAGCGACCACCACCAGGAAGACGACCGATACCTCACAGAGCAGCCCGCAACGACAAGCCAATCGTCGCTGCCCGTACGATGTGTCCCACGTCGTCGCCCAGAAGATCTGCACTCGACGCGCAGCTGCCTGGGCGTCCCTCAAGCGCCCCGTGACGGCGTGGGACGTGACTTCGAGATTGCCCGGAGCCCAAATGGGTACGGAGGAACCTCGAGCCACATGTGCTTGAGTGGATGACGAGGAGGAGGAGGAGGAGGAGGAAGAGGAGGAGGAGGAGGAGGAGGAGGAGGAGGAGGAGGAGGAGGAGGTGGGGGATGGGGAGGGGGGGGGGAGGAGGAGGAGGAGGAGGGCCGATGCGGAGGATGTGGAGGAGGAGGAGGAGGACGAGGGAGGAGGAGGAGGAGGATGACGAGGGAAGGAGGAGGAGAAAATAGGGGGAAGAGAGGAGAGGAGGAGAGGAGGAGGAGGAGGAGGGGAGGAGGAAAGTGGGAGGAGGAAGGAGGAAGGATGGAGGAGGAGGAGGAGGAGGTAGGAGGAGGGAAGGAGGAGGAGGAGGAGGAGGAGGAGGAGGAGGGGGAGGATGAGGAAGAGGAGGCGGAGGAGCCGGAGCTGGAGGAGGAGCAGGAGGACCAGTGTAAACCCAAGAGCCATCAACGATGCTGGAAAACAACTCCCTCTAAGCTCCCTCGTCATAGGGCCCCTACAACGGTTCATTTCCATTGAGGGGTCTGCCTCGTTGGAAGACAACCGTGTGAAGATCCTGCAGCATGCCAAAACAGTGTTCTTTGGATTCCAACGCCACGGATCAACCTGACTGTTGCGTGTTGACGATTTTGGATCGTGCCAGAACGCCATTTTTGGGATTTCAACACCGCGAATCAACGTAATTGTTGCACCCGCAAAATCCGGACTCAGTCCAAAACACGATGTCTGGTACGTTAATCGTGGGACTCCGTGAAACTCTTGCAATGTTTGAATCGAATGTGCGCGTCGCCAAGGCGAGAGCCACATTTTGACAAGGAACCGCCCTCAATCCGCGAAATCAGTGCAATTTGTTAAAGCGAATGTGCGCGGCGCCAAGGCGAGAGCCACATTTTGACTAGGAACCGCCCTCAATCCGTGAAGCTCCCGCAAATGTTTAAGACGAATTTGCGCGGCGCTAAGTCGAGAGCCACATTTTGAAAACCACCCGCCCTCCATCTGTGAAACTGTTGCAAATTTGTAAGTTTCAGGGCCATTAGTGTTGAGGAAGTCTCAGGCGAAACGCCCGGCCGGCCCTAAACATTGGCCTCGGGGTGAGACAGGGAGACGTTGTTTATAAGGAAAAGGAATGGATGAGGAGGAGGAGGAGGGGGTGGGCGGGGAGGGGGAGGGGGTAGGGGGGGGTGGGGGGGTGGGGGGGGGGGGGGGGGGGGGGGAGGGGGGGGGGGTGTGGGGGGGGGGGGGGGGGGGGGGGGGGGGGGGGGGGGGGGGGGGGGTGGAGGGGGGGGGGGGGGGGGGGTGTGGGGGGGGGGGGGGGGGAGGAGGGGGAGGAGAAGGAGGAGGCGGGTGCTGAGGGTGCCGACCAAGTCGAAGGGGTCGCCCCGATCGTTCGGCTCAACGGCCGCAATGCCGACGCCCAGGCGGGGCTATCGCCCAGCCGTCCACCCAGCACCAGCCACGAAAGACCACCCC